CTCAGGCCAAGATTCAGGGCTTCAAATTGACCTACCCCAACATCTACCCTATGAAATTCTGGAGTGTATGAAGGGGCCAAACCTACAAATCTAAAACTACAGGATCTCCATGACATAGGGCCACAACAAAATAGCTGCAAGAAATCTCAGAGAGGTTCCAGTATTGCTTGTGTAACAGAAGCCAGACCAAGAGGGAGGTTGCAAGGATAGAGGGCCTGTGCCAGGGAACAGGACTGGGAGATGAGTGGGATTGGGATGCATGATATGAAATTCACAAATAACCAATAAAACATTAACAAAATTGTGGTATCAGCAAATTTTCTCTTATTAGTGTCCTCTGTGGCTTAATTCCTTGGAAAGGGTACATATTTCTGCAAAGTAAAATTACAAAATTCAACATTTATTTGATAAATAACAAGTAGATGTGTAGACTGACAATAAAGAGAGAAAAACACTAAAAATGCCAAGTTGTGATTTAAAATTAATGTCACACTTGTAAGGAGAAGCTCAGTTACTATGTATCTATGTTTAAAAGTGACATTTCTACTCCTTAGATCTTTAGTAATATATTTATTTACTGATATTTGAAAGCAAACGTGTCTCCAACTCATAACTCCTATTAACTTATATGTATATCATTCATATATATATATACCTCCTGATCAAAAGTGATGTCATGGTGCAACTACCTATCAGATTCATTCTTGCAGGTAAATTGTAATGAATCTGTGCTTTTTGTATTCATAGCCCATCGGAATTTAGTATGTAGGTTGTGTTTTTGATGATACAACCAAAAATAATGTGATGGCTCAGATTTAGGGATTCCATGATTAAAATATAAAAGGTAAGTTTGATTTCTGAGACATTAATGCAGCACTTTAGTACAGGGCCACCTTCTGATGTATTCTAAAAGGAACCTAATTATTTTCATTATGGATGTTATGAAAGTCAAGTCATGCACACTTGCATATATTTTCTCTTAGTTTTTAATCACTCATAGAGACTGTTAAGCATTTCTTTAGAGAAAATTCAAAGTAAGGAGAAAACTAGGTCTGTTTTAAACCAATCCTACATGGAATATCAGGCTGTCTTTTCATCTTGCTTGCCCTAGCTTAGTGAGGTATGATTGGTCTTTCATCTTCAGAAACAGGGGTGGGGGAGGAGAGAATGCATTTGTTTTTCACTTGAAATATTTTAGCCTGCTCTAACCAAAATGTTGTCAAGACAGTTTGGCTTTTGAAGACTGGCAGTAGCCAAGAAATATGATTAATGTGCTATATCATCGTGTTAGGTTCCAAAATCATGGGCATCAAAGTGACCCTTAAGTACTTGACTCTTAATTTCCAAGCCTTTAGAAAAGTTCTACAAATGCAATCCAAAGCATTCACTTTTCTAATCATGCAATCCTTGTGTCTGCTCATGGAAGCACAAAACGATGTCATGCAGTGAAATGTTACTCAGTTGTAATACTTCATATTTTAAAATTATTTAAAAATTAACAGTATTCCTCCTGTGAAGTTATATAAAGTATGGGAGGAGAGTCTGATTTTCTTTACAGGTGTAGCTCCTAGACGGTCAGTCTCACTCCATTAGAAGACTTCACAGCCACTTTGATAGCACAGCTGAAGTTGATGGATTATCAATTTTAAAATAAAATAAGAGAACAGAAAGATCCAGGGGCGGGTTTGGGAGGAGCTAAAGGGAAGAACTGAAGTAAATGTGATCAAAATATGTTATGTGAAATTTGAAAATAATTAAAAATTTAAATAATAGAAACTTAAAATGTATTCTTTTCCCCATAATGCACCTCTATACATAAGTATTATTTCTATTATCCTAATCCATATATGAGAAAATAGAAAATTCTTAAAAGTAATGTAATTTTGCAAGACATGGGTGAGATATGTGACTAAGAATGACTGGGTAACTAACCTTTAAATGTTCTTATAAAATTTGAAAATCCATTTGGAAAATATTTATGTAGTACATAATAGAGGTATTGCCAGGGTTTGTGTGTGTCCAAATTGTATAAACACGTACATAAATCATCATTATAAATAACTGTCCATTCAAATCAACATGTACATTAAATCAATATCTTATTAATACAATTTTACTGAGTGCTTTTGCTCTATCAAGTATTACCTAGCAAACACTTTCAAACATATAGATGTAGTCCTCTGTAATGTTTCCATTAGGGGAACAAATGACAAACAAATCCTATGCTATATTGCTAAAATGCCTCCCCTTTTCTAATGAATTTTTCTATCTGTGGATGTGTAAGATTCACAGTGATGAATGCAAAGATGGTCAGTCCTGAGGAAGGAAGTGAGAAAAAGAAAAGGGTCTTCATTACCTCAGCCCTCATCCTCTCTATGGGAAACATTTAAAGATTACTTTCTCTTCTTTTTGCTTTGAAGTTGCTTGCCCTTTATTTACATTACAAAATGGGCACTTTGCCTCTTTTTAGCATATTGCTTGTTTTATGTTCCCTAGCAACCTTGTACAGTGTGAGAATTCTATCTTTGGGGCAAAATGGCAACATTTCCTTATTCAGAAACATGCCAAATAGGTGACTTTAAACACATTATGTAATTTTTCCTCATCTTAATTTTCTATGCCATCAAGTTAGGATAAAAATAATTCATACATGATATGGGCAAGTCAAAACTTAAAATCATGATTATAAATACTCCTCCCCTATAAAATAATTATTATAAATATTGATATAAGTATAAATGAGTTTTTAGTGAAATAAAAGACTGTATTTAACCTTGTAGTTATTACCATCCTCTTCCTCATGTGCTAGAGAAGTTACTCTTAAGACTTCCATATGCCAACCCAAAATACAGTTATTCAAGATGCTTACTTAAAAGCAAAAGCAGGTCCCTAGATCAAATGGTAAGCTCCATAAGCATCTTATGCTCTTAGGACAATAAAACCAGATTCATCGTTCTTGAGACTTTTGCCTCTCAGTAAAAGGGATGGTATTTAGTTATGTGCCTACCAACCCTTGACTAGATCTATAAGTGGTAATTACTGTTTTCTAAACTCTTTCCATGAGGACTGATTGTTCTTTCTTATTTCACAAATAACCTCTTTTCATGCTTATATATGATGAATCCAATTTTAGGATACATTTCTAAGTACCTGGCTTGATTGCTTCTAAAAACGGGTGCCCTTTCATTGATTGTAAATTGCTTTTATCAAAGACCCTGAACTACCTCATAACTAAGTGATGTGTATAAAGAACAGACAATAAATTAAATTGCACTTGAGACACCAGTCTGGACCATGAGTTCCCAATATTAGGAAATGTATAACCTTCAAACAAATGGGGTATGAATTCTCTGTAGAGAATCTGTTTATTGTGCCATTGACTTATCACTTAGAATGTGATAAAATCTTCGAATTTATTTTCAAATCAGTTTTATATCAAAACAGACATTCCATCTTAAAAGATCTCTAGATTAGCTTGTGCCAATAAAATATAATCAATTAAAAGTCCACAATTCTGTTTCAATAGAGAATTGGTGTTTGAAAATATATAAAAATTTAAAAAGTTCACCAAAATCCTACACTGTGGGGCCAGTCATAGGGATGATCATTAAGACTTAAAACCCTGTATTAGTGCATTGAATAAAAATAGATATGCTACTAAGAGTGGATGAAACTTTAAATGCTCTTAAATTTGCCATCATCAGTACTGAACTGTAGGTTGTACAGAAAATAGAGATGGTTTAGTAGGTAAAGTACTTGCGTGCAAACCTGGGGCTTCAGTTCAAGTCCCCAGAACCCATGCAAAGCTAGATACAGTGGCTGTGTCTGTAATCTCAGTACTCCTTTTATTGATCATGGCCTCTGTGAGGCTACGTGTTAAATGGCAGGTACTCTGGTTATCTGTGTCACATTATTTACTAACAAGGCAAAGTCAAGGATCCTAAATTTTCTTTAGTTTGTTTTGCTGAGGTTAAAATTAAGGGAGCAATCCCCAGACTTGTAATGTTCAGCTATGCTGATCCAATAGATTTTTGAAGACATGAAGGTGACATCTCTTCACATGCCATATATAAAGATACAATGTATCTTTTTTGCTTGAGGGATATGTTTGTGGCTAGGCTAGATGAATCTATTAATTATTAATATATACTATGTTCTGTTGCTTGTATCTCTGAAAGTACTGTTTATAGTCTAATATATGCTGTTTGTTACACTTACGGTTTCTGTGCTCGTTAAGGTTCATGAATTGAAAGTTCTATTATTACAATATGTCTTTATTATACAAAATCCTTTCACCTGAGAGTATCCAATGATGAGCATCATATGAGACCCATAAATTAAGGTTCAATAAAGGAAAGTATAATTTCTGAATGTTCTGTACATCTGCAATATATGCTACCCAGTCATATCTACTAGAGACTATTTAAACCAATTGAATTTTGAGGGTTCAAAAACCTTCGATGAGAAAAAATGAGATTTTATTTTGTTTTGGAGATGTGGTTTATGAAAAAGTAACTACTCATTTCTTCATGATGACTTTTCTGACACAAAATTAAATACTTTATAATTCAAATCACCTGTATTAGAGGGGACTGACTGAAGGGCATTAAGCACTAAATTAACCACTTTTTTTCTTCTTCTATCATTTCTTAAGCACAGTCTAGGATCATATGATATGTGGTCATGTTTCATAGATAGGGGATGAGTCACAACCAGATGTACATTTGTACCTCATGTGCAGCACTTCCTATTTTTAAGAGGTAGATTCTCTTTATTTTCCCTAAGTCTTTGACACTCTCTGTGGGTCTAAGGATACCTCCCTTATGATGAGACTGTGTGAGGTTGAAATGCTTCAGTAGACTTCAAAATGCTTCGATTGCTTGCTACTTCACACATCACACTAACACTGTAGCTTCTCGCACATGCGAATTCAGCTATCGCACTAGTGTTCTTCCTATGTTTGTTTCTGTTTGAGCACTCATATGTGTTTTCTCTTACAGATGGCTATACAACTGATGACATTGAGTTTTACTGGCGTGGAGATGACAATGCAGTCACAGGAGTGACGAAGATAGAGCTTCCTCAGTTCTCCATTGTAGATTATAAACTCATCACCAAGAAAGTTGTTTTCTCCACAGGTTTGTATCAGCAGCGAGGATTTTAAGCAAAAACAACTTTATCCTATTTCTTTTCAAATGGATACCTTGATATGGAGTTGAGGGTGAGGGCATCAATTCTGCATCCTAGAAACCAGCAGAATAGAAGCTATGCTACAACTCCTGTTTCGAGAGAGGCCCCTTGTACCATTCAAAAAAGCACAACTGTTTTCTGGAAGGCAGTCTCAAGCAGAGGCTGACCCTTCACTTCACTGCTCATGTGCCAGAGAAGAAATAGATTTTAGAGATGGACTGTAGAAAGAGGGAGAAAGGAAAAGCTGACTCAGACTTGGGCATCTTGATTTTTTTTAAATCACTTTTTTTTAACGCATTATAGTTTGCCAAGGGCAGTTCATTGGACACCTAAAGATGAAGCATGACATCCTCTAAAGTAAGTAGCCTGGAAGGCTATGTTTTCCTGAGAACATGAAAATTTCATTAGTTTCCACTTATCATTGAGCTGACATCTTCTAAACACTGAAATGACACAGACCCCTTTACCTCCAGATCTCAGGTATCTATGCTGTTGTGGATGGCTGCATGAGTTTCTCAACGGATGATGAAGGAAGGCATTCACTTGCTAGAAATGACTTCAGTGGAAGTAATAGGCTTACTGGAATATTCCTCTTGATGTGTTTTTTGTTTGTTTGTTTGTTTGTTTGGTTGGTTGGTTGGTTGGTAGATTGTTGTTGTTGTTGAAATGTATCCAACAGGCACATAAATAACTAACTCCATCACTGTAGATTTGGAGAATTGCCTTTCTGCCAAGGATTCTGATACTTGGAGAGCTGTAAACCACTTTCTGCAAAAGCCATGCTGTGACTTACTAAAAATACAAAGTTAACTCTAGCTTAAGAGGAGTGAAAGGAAAAGCCCATAAACTTTCTGTAAGCCTGAGGTTTTTAAATCCCTATAACTCAATGGAAAGGATATTCTTCTGAAAATATTTGAATTGTGTATATACTAAGACCTCTGACGGCTTAGCCCAAGAAAACTAAACAACACTTTCTTATAAACAGCAAGAATATTATCTTCCCTGCCTTTTACAGTGTGAACCTTTCACACTCCAAGATAGCACACTCCTTTATGTCTTCTCAGTAATGTTAACTCCCCAGAATTCCACAGTCAAAGGACTCATATTTAAGAAACTTTTATTGTTGGGTACTTGGAGGAGTGGGATTTGTCTTATTGGTTTAGTTTTTTAGGTAGCCTTTTACATACTATGAGTTGTGTCTTTAGCATGATACTTTCCTTTGGTTTATATCTCATAAATCTTACTTAAAGGTGGTAATTTCTACATTATCTTGGGTGACTACTTTAGACTATAATACAAGTAATTTAGTTGTTAAGGAAAGAAAAAGCTGTATACAGTGAAAGATACCTGGATTCTGATCATGGAATGAAAATGCAACCTATGGTTTCTGAGGGTGTTTGTTACTGCCACCAGGGCCTTCAGTTTTATTCTTATATTAAAAGAAGAAAAATTATAGGAAAAATGTACTAGGAAAGAGTTGAAATAGGGAAACCAAGTGACTGTACAAATTGTGTTGTCCTAGCAGTTGCAGAGAATTAATATCTTTGATGTAAAAGATGAGGGCACTGATCAGGAAGAGAATAGCAAAGATTTTTTAATTGCTGGTAAGCACAGGATGTATATTCCACACTTGAGTCCTGCTGCTCATTAAAACACCTTGGATCTCAGACTAAATTTACAGAAAAATGCCCTTCACCCGTAGCTAAAATTACATTTAAGAAAGAAGTACAAAGTTTGTAAGGGCCTTTAATGGAAAGTGCCTTATAAATATTGATAATGATGATGTTCTCAAATTGCCTTTCTAGGTTCTTATCCCAGATTGTCCCTAAGTTTTAAGCTGAAAAGAAACATTGGCTACTTCATCCTGCAGACATACATGCCGTCCATTCTGATTACCATCCTCTCCTGGGTCTCCTTTTGGATTAACTATGATGCTTCTGCTGCACGGGTTGCATTAGGTAGGTCGTTTGCAAATTATGGAATCCTCTTTCTCCTCTCTCTCTTCTCTCCCTTCTCCTCTCTTTCTCTCTCCCTCTCCACCTCCCAAGTGATGTGCGTGCACGCGCTTGTGTGCATGTGTGTGTGTGTCTGTGTGTGTGTGTGTGTGTCTGTGTGTGTCCCCAAACCATGGGTGCCTGTACTTTCCTCACCCAGAATTTTGTAGTGTATAAAACTGGACTTTTCCTATTACAAGAGTTCAGCCATGAGACTTCTATGATCTGATTCCCCATTAAATCAATTAAACACAAATTAAAGCTTTTCCATTTCAAAATTAGTTAACGGTGGAGATGTCGGTAATGAAATTGGTCTCATCAGTTTGATAGTCTTACCAAAACATATTTTGTGTAATAATGCTTGCATAATTGCTCAATTTGTCTCCATGCTTCTTCACCTGCAGAATGCTTCCTTTTATCCCCTACCCCAGCATGGAGATGTGCTATACAACAAATGTATAAATAAACACTTCTCTGATGGTTTATTCATGCTTCAAGATCGCATGTAGAGAGCAGGAAACAAAAGAGTCACAATGCTTGTTCATGCTTTTTAGTCTTGTTCATCTTATGTCTGACTTTGCTTTCCTGTCATAACATCAGATGAGAATAAATCACATTTAGTCAACATTTTATGCAAATTGTATGACCTCTTGCACAGATTTCTCTATTTACATTTCTGACTAATCCCTTTTAAAATTGAGAGTTGTTTGGCTTCATCATAAGATCCCGATTCAATCATTACACTCATAGAAAGGCCATTCACTTCTCATTCAAAAACATTTGCATCTAACATGTGCTGACACAGCAAGATACTGAAGATGCATTTTTACTTTTCTGAAAAATGCATTCTAGCAGCAAATATAGATAAGCTTTGTAAGAGCGAGGGAATGAGAGCCTCCTCGCTATCCACCAGCAGGCCAGACAATGGAAAGGTGGTCCATATACACAATGGAATTATATTCAATTGCAAAACAACGAAAATTGAGGAAAAGTAGACTACTCTGGAAATTATATTAAGAGAAGTTCTCAGAAAGAAAATTTGCCACGTTGTTTAATCACATGGGGATCCTGACTTTGAATGTTTATATGTATAGGTGCATGTATGGGTGTGAATGAAACTGGAAAGGCAATCAGGAGAGGACAGAAAGATGTTGTCGAAAGGGAGCAGGGCACCAGACTTCCTGTGACAGCAGAAAGGGGGGCACTAGGGTGGACGGCAAAAGTGGGACAGAGGGTTAGAGTAGAGTTTGGACTGTGAGGAGTAACAACATTGTTTGAAAACGTCATAATAAAACCTAAAATTTTGCACGCTAATTTTCAAAAGATTAAAAAAAAAAAAGACACTGAAGAGCTACCAAAAGATATAACATAGGGTGACTCTGCAGAGAGAAGCAAGCAACCATTTTGTAACTGTGCCTGGGGGTGTTACCATGACCAAGGCTGACCTCACACAGAAGTTGTTACAGGAGAAAAGACTTTAAGAAAGTCAAGATCTAGGTGGTGATTGCCCAAACACCTCCTAAAGCTCCTGGGTTGGAAAAACAAAAACAAAACAGGAATGTCGATTGGTCCTGGGAGAGGACAGTACAGAGAAAAGTCCTGGGAGAAGATAGTAAGTGATGAAGAAGTAGAGTCCAGAAGGGACTCAGAGGTGTGGTATAAAGCTATCCTGTTACTCCAAGTGAAACAGAGACACAAGCAGGAAAGTTATAGGACTTAGTTTCAGTTCTATGGGGTAGTATTAGATGCTGTTAGGTTAGACTGAGATGGATCAAGGGTGGGAGGGAGGAGCAGTGAGTTTCAGGAATGAGTCAAGTCTCTCTCATGTGTGTTCTTAGACTAATAAACACTACCTGTGTAGACTAACCATACATATCATGTCTGTTTAGCTAGCTTTGTGATGCCCTCCCCTAAGCACTGACTCACTGGAGAAAGGTCCATAAGTAGTCATATCTCAGTCCTGTCTTATACAGAGCTTAGTGTTCATAAAATGCCAATAAAGAAATGGAAGCAATATACTGTGATTTCATAAAGGAAAGTAGATATCTACTGTGTGTCTATTGCACAAATAAATAATTTATTGATGCTTTAAAAGAAATGCTTAAAATATTCTTACATTTGAACCATTTATTATTTGGTACTCAACCACCTTAGAATAGCATTCAGATTAACACTAAAGTCAGCTTTAGTAAGTGTATAATATAGTAATACCTGTTGTAAAAATGACAGGGAGTAAAATGAAATTGAAAGTGTCTCAAAATGACTCCTACAGAAGACTATCTGAGGTCTGTAAGGAAACATCTTAACCAAAGTCAACTTGAGGTTCAGACTCACGTTCAGGTAGCTACGCATTCATGAGCTTTACATGAGTTCCACTAAAAACAAAATGGAAATAATTCATGAGACAGGATAAAAGAAGAAAATTTCACTGGAGAAGTCTTTGGAAAATAAAGTTTTGAGATGTGATTATGGGTTGTTCAGGAGGTAAATGATCCTGAGAGTTCAGATAAAATGGTGTTAGTTCAGCATCCTATCTGTGTGATTTGGCTTCTGTCTGTGCTTTGTTTGTTTTCTCATCACTACAGGTTGGGACTGCATCATACCAAGTTCCTGAACTCCCAGTATTTTTACCTTCCAGTAATAGCTCTGAGACTAACTACTCTCTACTGTTAGAGATGCCTTCTAACTAGACACGCAATTATAGCCTGACCTAAAGTCATATTTCCAATAAGGACCACTGTAAATGATCTGTGTTTCATATCTGTGTGTTTTGTATTCACTTGTCCAATTCAAAATCATAAGCATTCTAGTTTCTGTTTCTTTAATCCTCTGCTTCTGTCTTTCAAATCGTTCTAGTTTATGTATGTTATCTGCATTCATAGATCTGTTATCTGTTATAGGTTATCGGTAGAAACCTTTAACCTAGTATTCTTTATTTCTACCTTATATTGTATTCCTTCATTCCCATGCTGTTACCAGCCTGATTTCTTAAATTCAGTATACCCATTTTTATGCATACCTGTCTCCATGTAGCCAACATGGGGGCATTATCTTTAATTTAACAGGCTTTCATTTGACCTCCATTTTTCAAATGTATATGTATATACTTGAAGATCTTTAATTTTATTAAAGGGCTGTGAACTCTCTGAAATTCAACCTTTTTACAAAGTTTTCCCACCCATGATGTCCTGGGGTTTGCTGTAACCTTTCATCTCTAGTTGATCTGGTTGATTTGGCAAAACCCACTAATTTTTCAGAAATCACTTCCCAAAAATCTACATTCTTGACACTGACATATCAGGAATGTAAACTATGATCATCTCTATGCTAATTTGCTCCAAATATACACATAGAGTATAATATTTAATCCACATTTCCAATTCTCTTCTTCAAAAACAAATATGAATATAAATAGAAAAATATAATTAAAGGATAGTTTCTATAACAATTCATGTTCACCGTAAGTTAATTTACACATATTTTTAGGAAGGGGCACTAGGCTGCTTTATAATAAATCTCTATCAAATAGATAAGTATATATAAATAAGCTAGCTTTTCCAGCTATTATGAGAATACTAAGGAAATAGGAATGATATTACCCTAATTTTCATTATTTTTCTTTTCTTTTTTTCAGGAATTACAACTGTCCTAACGATGACCACAATCAACACCCACCTCCGGGAGACTCTCCCTAAAATCCCCTATGTAAAAGCCATTGACATGTACCTAATGGGATGCTTTGTCTTCGTCTTTATGGCCCTTCTGGAATATGCTTTGGTCAACTACATCTTCTTTGGGAGAGGACCCCAGCGCCAAAAGAAAGCAGCTGAGAAAGCTGCTAATGCCAACAACGAGAAGATGCGTCTGGATGTCAACAAGGTACACTTACAGAGAATTGGTCCTTGTTGCTTAAACTCAGAGGAATCCTGCGGAACTTGATGGAGTCGTTATGACATAGGAATACAGGGCATAGGAACAAAACTGTAATTTCCTTCCAAAATTCCATAAATGATAAGTGAGAGGCAAAATAAGCTCCCCAAACATATCACCCAACTCTTAGATACCCTTTCTTTAACACAAAGGATACTCAAACTTCCACACGAGCTATTTTCCTACGTATGAGAATCACATAATTAATTTACATTTCTCTAAATTTACTCACTTGTTTAAATTTATTACAAAAGAGAAGTTTATTTTATCTAATTGAATATGCTTGCCAGTACCTGGCCTTAAATATAAAATAAAATTGCAATCATTAAACTGTTGCTTATACTAAATGAAGGCTCTGAACCTTATATATACATTATCTTTGGTTTAAAATACAAATAAACACATTTAGAAATATGTTAATGACCTATTAACAACAACCTGAGTTTTTCCCACTCTGAGTAATCAAAAAGATGGGAAGAAGTAGGGGAAAGTCGGAAAGTCGAGTCATTTTTTCAAGTGATGCATGTTTGCTTAAAGCCTTGCTCATACTCTTATGCCAGAGTACTTCCTTGCATAAAGCCCCCTTCATTAAGCGAAGTAGGACCAAAGACTTCCTACATAAGTTTGCTTACACAGTGTTTTGTTTGTTTGTTTGTTAGTTTTTTATTTCTCTTGAAGTCATTTTTTTCATCCCGGTGGGACGCTCAGAAGAGAATTTATTTATTTATTTATTTATCTTTTTTATAATTTATTTTTTCTCAAATCGTAATTCATTCACACAGGGGTTATAAACACAGAAAGGCAGGATGTGGGGAAGGGAATGACACTGGAGTGTGGGTGTTCAGGGGGAATACAGATATCTTCAGAACCGGGTATCGGCTGGTTGAAGGTTCAGGGGACAAGTCACTATGACTCTGCCTATGACTCACTTGTCCTTATCTAAGTTGGTATTGTCTGCCAAGGCTTCCTATTTACAAGGTCTATGACTACTCAGGCTTGTAAATTTCCACAAAAGCTGCCTGTTTACATTATCTTATAGCCATCTATTTCAATGTTTTTCCACTGAGACCCACGACTTGGTGTTGGTATACATGTATGACAGTCCTATTGCTGATTTTAGGCCTATGGCTGATTTTAGGCCTTCAGTGTGTAAGCAGGGCTGCCCCTGACATCTCCTCCCTTCTCTAAGTATAGAAGGGCTGTGGCAATTCTAAACTTGCGAAGGCGGGGATAGAGGCCTGATCTCCAGTATTTTAAGGGGACCTTGTAATGGCTCCAGTCCCCCTGTCATTGTCCAGTGAGGCATGAGGGCCATACCTGTCCTGATGAAAGAGATTTTTTTTAAAGACTGAATCCTGGGTCCCTCTTAAGACTGGGCATCATACATGTATAGGTTCATTGGGTTATTCTTATTTGGAACCCATTTTAGTAATCATCACTTTGAGAGATTTGTGCAGCAGTCTCAGTGGAGGTGAGCTTTTTGGATCTAAATGTAGTATCACCTGGCTTACTGTTGTAGAGCTTTCTGCCTGAAACAGAATAATGAAGATATTTCTTCATATTCCATGTTTCAACTGTTTGAGTTAAATGCTTTCATTAACATCTGTCCTAGTGTTTATGGAATAAAATAGAATACAGAACTCATTAAATAGTTCACATTGATGTCCTGGGGAAGAGAAATGTGCTTAAACTCTCTGTACTTATTAACCATAACAATAATTAACTAGGACACTGACATCTTAATGTCTTCAACTTCATTTTAATTTTAAGAATAGAGCTCAAGTAATCTTCACCATTGAAATTTACTTGTAGACAAATCCATGGAAGTGTGAATCATGATCCCAACTTAACCACAGGTCTGATATTTGTTTCTAGACTATTTTTTAATTAAAAACTTATTTCTCAGAGATGATATTTATAATGATAAATATTATATGTCATCTATGAAAGCCAATAGACATAGGGTCTAGGAACTGTCCATTTATTCCCAGGGCTTGGGTATTCTGTAGCTGCAGTCTATAGGATGCTAGACAGCAATAGGCAACCTATTGATATGCGTTTTCCAGGTTGACAAATGAGAGTACTCTTAAAACCGCTTCATGATTCACCAGATAGAGTACCCTAAGTAAAGAAAACAAAAGAATAATAAATAAAAGTGTCTCCTAGGACTCGAGTTGGAAATGAGTTTAAACAATTGCCTGATGCAAGTCCGACTTAATAAGATAACATCTGATCCCTTTACACCTTCATCTACCTGATCTCTTTTATACTAATTTGCATTTAAATGATAAATTTAAGACTGAGGCAGTGAAGATTTTAAACAAATGGAACCTAAAGAGCCTTACAAAGTCTTAAATTCAATTGTTTCCAGATGGAAGCAGGGAAAAGCTCATGAAGTAGGCACTTTTTGATAATGAAAAGCCTGTCTTCCTGGCTGAAGGTGGGCACAGTGAAGATCATAGCAAAACAAGCAACACAGAAAATTGGGACATTCTAATACATTGTTGGCTTCCAAAATGGGGAATTTTGTCCCATAGAGAGGTTGTGACAATGCCTAGAGACATTTTTATTTGTCACACGAGGAGATGGTGGTTGCTACTGGTATTCCATGTGTGGTAGCCAAGGATGTCAGTAAACTTCCCACAGTGCCCAGGATAGCCTACCCAAAGATAGAGAATCATCTTTCCCAAAGTACCCAACCTTCTTACTTCAAACATGAGAGACGGAACTCCACAAATATTATATTTGAGTTGGGTTTCATAACACCTTGACCACATGGTTTGACTATTTTTTGATTAGCAACCACTCCCAAAACAGATATCAAGCACAATTCCACATCAAATTTTAAATCCATCAGGTTTCTTTGATCCTATGTGACAACAGACAGAGTCAACCTGTCTGACCTTCAGTATTTCATCTATTAATTAAACAAGGTCAATTCTTTTCTCATAGTGTTATTATGAAGATATTACATGAAGATTATTATGATACTGTGAAGGGAGGGTAAGAGAGTCCTCATTACATAACAGCCATTCATTAAGAATTATGTATTAACAGAATTGATAGTCTTATGTATGTTAAGATTATTGCCTTCACAGTCAAATAGGCCAACAGCACACCTCTCCTTTGATTTTACATTGTTCAACATCCTCAAAGTATAGTACCTAAAATAGAATGTATGTCTAGAATTACTATGACAACAATGGCATGAGTTTTTCAGTGATTATTAGCTATACAATCGACATAAAAACTATTGTGTCAAGTTCTGCCCGACATTTTATAGGGCAGAACATTTGGCATCATCCTGAGTAGATTAAGACAAAAAAGTTGCCCACATAGCATTTCAGTTACTGACTTTCCTTTCACCCAGCACAAAAGGTCAGAGAAGATCCACACTGAGTTCTGATTATGTAATCCTTTCTTTTGTGTCAGTATCATGCATAATGCCACTATTTCTTATCAAAAATGTCCCTTCTTTCCAACTGTGATTCTAAGGTTATTTCCCCCCACCAAGATTGGACACATAATCAGCTAAGTATTGTTATCTTCCTTAACAAAAAAAGAATCAGCTGCTAGGAGAAGGATTAGATTTTTTTTCTGCTTTGATGACTTCCTAAAGAGGGAAGAACTATATCTGATCAGCTGTGGTGATTTTTAAACTGCAGTGTCCCAAGGTCAAGGTAGGATGAGATTGGAAAGGTCAAAAGGAGAAGCATACAGTTACTTTCATATTTTTTTTCTCTTTATCAGTTACTTCTAATTTTTTGAAAATATTTTTCAGCTTTTAAAACACTTGCCACCCTGCCCTTTAAGTAAATCAGAAATGAAAGTCAAAAAGGAAAACATGACTTAGACACAATTGCATAAGAAAGTTAACCAAGGCCCCCAGACCTGCTCTGGGAGTTCTCAGCCATATGTAGTGTACATTCTACAAAACAAAGGAAAATTGCAACTCTCGTTCCACATTATTCCATCTGAGCAATCAGTTCATCGGTTTACTTGATCTAAACCCAGCAACCTCCACATGAAAGTCTATAACCGACTGTTTCTTTCACCTGTCCTAATGTAACATTCTAAATGGCAGAACACTGAACTTAAAATCAACTTCAAACCAACATGAGCCCTACTGATATTTTCCCAAATGTCCATTGTGGTAATTTAAAACATAGAATAGCTTTCAAAAATAAATAATGAGAAAAATATGCAAAATCTATCTTGATGTAAACAAAACCTGTTTGTTCATGTGTGATAGACAGATAGATGATAGATGATAGATAGATAGATAGATAGATAGATAGATAGATAGATAGATAGAGAGAGATAGATGAGAGATAGTGTGTGTGTGTGTGTGTGTGTGTGTGTGTGTGTGTGTGTGTGTGTGTTTCCTGATAGAATTTGCTTTTGGTTAATTTTCCCTCCCAGTTTTCCTCATGACTAAAGTTTTCAACTCTTCGATTTCTCAGCTTTAAGCTTTATGTGGCTTCCTGACTCTTTTTCTGCCAGTTGCTAAATATTTGCATATTTGAGAATCTAGTCAGTCTTGTCTTTTCAGTCTTGGTTATTGCATACTTGAAATCTCTATGAAGTGCTTTTCATATTGAGAAACCTACAGCCATCAGTTTTCTAAATAAAACTCTTCCCAAAAGGGTCCCCATTTGATGCTCTCTACTTGCACTGGGGTGTTTTGACTCTGTATTGTCCTTATGCCTTTGATGGATCTTTTGTAATGCAAAGCTCCTAAAACCTTTTCAATGTATTCCTCCAGCTTAGAATTAACTATTAAAATTCTTTTGAAAATCAACTAATCAGCATTCTCCCATTCTTCATTAGAATTGGTCTATTTCCTTATGTTTCCTAAAGACCAATAGTGTTGATATACATCCAGTTCACCTGAACTATAGGTGTCATCCATCAACTTAAATAGCACATTTTCTACTTTGTCTTCCAGA